AGTCATATTGAATCAGTTGCCAAATCTTGTTGATTCTCCATCCACAATATCTCTCATATTTTCCCTTTTTCTTCACTTACTTGCTTCTACTCTAGTTTGGGTACTCATTATTTCTCATTTGGATGACTGTAACATCCTCCTATTTGGTTTCCCTGTATTGTCTCTCCTCTCTCCAATTCACACTCCACAATGTTACAAAACTAATATTCTTTTTTTTTTTGCTAGGCAATGGGGTTAAGTGACTTGCCCAAGGTCACACAGCTAGTAAGTGTCAAGTGTCTGAAGCCGGATTTGAATTCAGGTCCTCCTGACTCCAGGGCCCGGTGCTCCATCCACTGCGCCACCTAGTTGCTCCTAAAATTGATATTCTTAAGACAGAGAACTGATCATGTCACCTAATTTACTAAAAAAATCTTCAATGGCATTGACATTCTGTTGTCTCTAGGAAAAGGACAATAATAACAATCATAATAAATAGCTAATATTTATGTAGTACATTAAAATTTGCAAAGTGTTTTATATATAAAATACAAAACTTCTCATCCTGGCATTTAAAGACGTAAGTAATATGACTCACACACCTTGTTATTCTTAATCTATATCACTCCTTCTTGAACACCTACCATTCAAATAAAACAGGTCAGCTAGTACTTCCTTGTAATAACATTTCATCCATCTCCTCCTTTGCACAAGACAGAGAGAATTTTAATCATGGTGGTTGGGGGGGGGTGAGGTAATAAGGAAAGGTATGGTGTAGATGGTGGCATTTGAATTGCTCTTTAAAGGAAAGTAGGGATTCTATGGGGAGGAGGATGCATTCTGAGGATGGAGGACAATTCATGCAAAACATGGAGTTAAAATGGCATGTTGTTTATGGAGAAGCATGGAATGGAGATTGTGTGAAAGGGAGTGTATGGAATGAGACTGGAAAAGAAGGTGGGAGCCAGATTATGGTGTGTGTGAAGTGGAATCTTCATTTGTATTTTATCCTAGCAACAAGAAGGAACCATAAAAGTTTTTCAGTAGGGGACAGGATGCAGTGATATGATTGATGTTTTAGAAATAGTAATTTAGCAGCTTTTTGGAGGATGGAAGGAAAGGGGAAAGACAAGATGCAGAGACCAATGAGGAGGCTATCTCAATAGTCCAGGAGAGAAGAGATGAGTACCTAAATGATGTTTGAGATTGTTTGAATGTTCAGAAGGGGGCAAACATAAGGGAGGTTGTAGAGACAGAATTGACAAAATTTGCTAACTGATTAGATATAGGGGTTGATGGAGTGGAAAGAGTTGAGGAACAGTCAATCTATCAACAAGCATTTAATAAGCACCTAATATGCTAATTCTAAGGTTGCAAACCTTGGTAACTTAAGGGTAATAGTGCCATCAACTAAAAAGGGCAAGATTTGAGGGACTAGGCATTCAAGGAAATATAATGAGTTCTGTTTTAGACCTGTTGAGTGTGAGGTCCCTATACTACATATAGCTGGGTGGTGAAATGGATAGAGTGCCTGCCTCAATGAGTTCAAATCCATCCTCAGACACTTACTAGTTGTGTGACACTGGGCAGGCCACTTAACCCTACTTGCCTCAGTTTCCTCATCTGTAAAATAAACTGGAGAAGGAAACAGCAAACCACTCCAGTATCTTTATCAAAGGGAACACAAAGAGTCGGACATGATTGAAAAATGACTAAAGAACAACAAAAAATATATTGAAGATGAGAGAAACAGAAAGAATGATTAAGGTGGGAGAAGGTCTAACTCATTGAAGACTAGAACAAATGAGGAGAGAATAGGGATAAAGAGGAGTTTTGAGGAGTATAGTTGGGGAGAAAATGAATCTCATTCCTGTTCTCTTAGCAAAGTAGGAAGCAAGGTCTTTAGCTGAGAGGGAGGAGAGAGGAAACATATAAGAGATCTGAAGAGACAGGAGAGGGTTTCAACTAACTTATATGGAAAGCATAACAGTCAATCAGAGAATAAATAATAAATGGATTACTGGGTAGCAATGAGGGCCCAGTTGAAATTAGATAATACTAATTTGTATTGAACAAAGTTGAAACGTTGTCCAGTAGTATTAAACAATCTGTGAATAGGAAGAGAGAAGGCAGAATTATTTTGCTTAGGCCCAAAAGATATAGTTTAAGTGACTGTTCCTAATTAAACACCAATTAAGTATCAGAAGTGGGGAAATTAAATGAGATTTCTCTAGACTTTGGTCAACTAATCTTATTTTCCTCTAAAATTATGGGGTTTATACTAGATAACAAAAAATAACCAACTAAACAAATAAGCTGTAGGGCTCTTTCTATTATACCACATAGTGTCTTCAGATTAAAACGAAGTCTTCATTTATCCATTTTGTCTTGCCGTTAAGGTGTTTGAGGCCAGACTTAGTCACAATGAGTTTTCTTTCTTCCTTATATTGAGATGAAATCTACCTGCTAATAATTTCCACCCACTAGTCCTAGCTATCTTCTCTGGGACTAAGAGGACACAATAAATCTAATACCTCTTCCACATGAAGATATCCATAAATCCCTCCTTCATCCTCATCACCCTCCTCTAACTTGTCAACATCCTTTCTAAAACATGGATTGCAGAACTGATCACAATGTTTCAGATGTTATTTGAGTCCTCCTGGAGTGGACGAGAACAGAATACAGCAGATCTCTCCTATCTTTCACTTTGTATGCCATACTTCTATTCTTGGAGCCTAAGAAAAATTAAGACTTTTTTTAGTTATTTGCACTGCTGCCTCATGCAATTTATTAAAGCTCCTAACTCCATTTCATGTTGTTGTTGTTGAATCATTTCAGTCATGTCTAACTCTTCATGTCCCCATTTGGGGTTTTCTTGACAAAGATACTGGACTGGATTGCCATTTCCTTCCCCAGCTCACTTTACAGATGAGAAAACTGAGGCAAGTAAGGTTAAGTGACTTGCTCAGGGTCACACAACTAGTAAGTATCTGAGGTCAGATTTGACTTCATGAGGGTGAGTCTTCCTGACTCCACACCCAGCACTCTATCTATTGCAACGTCTAGGGGCTCACACTTTATTTCATATGAACTACTTTATAGTCATGTCTTACCCAATCTATATAGGCCTGTACATTGATACTACTAAGTTTTAGCTTGCTGACTTCATTACACAATTCCATAATGTCAAGTTAATTTGAGGTTCTTAATTCTAGCATATTAGCTACCCTTTCCTGTTTTGTGTCACATCAAATTTGATAAACATGTTCTTTGTGTCGCTGACAAAAAATATTGAAGAGCATAGGACCAAGGACAGAGCAGGAGAGCCCTGCATTAGAGACCTGCCCTCTATTCTGAAACTGATTCATTTATTCAACAAACTGTGGGTCTAGCCAGTTTCTTTTATTACACACTTTGTGAGTATTCACTTTTGGTCTGTTTGTTTTAAAGTGAATTCCTTTTTGCTTCACATAAAACTGTCTTTAGGCCTAAAAAAAAAAACTGTCTTTAGGAAAAAAAAGGTAATATGAATAAACAAGATTGTGAGCTCCTTGAGGGCAGAGTATTTGCTTCTGTAACCCCAGAGTTTAGCACAGTGTTTGACATATAGTGAGCACTTAATAAATGCTTGTTGCCTTGATTTGAAGATGTTATTAGCTGATTGTATTATCATGTTGCATGTGTAGGAAGTTTATGAAAATGTTAACTTTTAATCAGATGGTGACCCTTAATGGGAAAGGCATCTCTCCAGAGTTTGATGAGCTCCAAAATAGATTCTTTTGTTGCAGAGATGTTCAGATTCCTCTGAATAGCCTAGTTAATAAATTAACATATTTTCTGTTTAGAAGAGGGCCCCATCTATGTTGAAGTTTTGGGGAATATTTTATTTCCTGAGGATAGAGATTTTCAAGATAAATCTGTGGAGTAAGACATCAGCCAAAGCAAGAATGGGCTGATGTCTGCAGAAAGAACACTACAAGATTCATAGAGTGAGAGGTCATTTTCTTTTCCTTTTGTGACTAAAATCTCCTTAATAGTAAGTTCAAGTCAATGAGCATTTATTAAATGCCTACTATGTGTTAGGTACTATGGACACAAAAACAAAACTATGAAATTACCTAATTTCAGGGAGCTTACTTTTTAATGGGGATGAACATCAGGTATACATATAAATAAATGTAAAACATGTATATAATAAGGCAAAATAATTTTGGACAGGGAACAATAACAACTGGAAGAAGTAGGAATCAAGAATCAGAAAAAAAACTCTTGAAGGAGTTGATGCTTGAGCCTTGAGACCATGCCAGATTTAGGGAATGGTCTGTACAAAGGCATAGAGATGGGAAAGGCATTCCAAACATGTTCGGCAGTTTTCAAAAAGACAAGTGGAGAGGAGGAAATTTGAGATTTGGTTCAGCTTTCCCTAGGGTCAAATTATTTTAAGTTATATCCTTAAACCATTAGCATGACTAGTTTTAATCTACTGAGAACTAGGGAGAGTATAATGTACCTTCCAAGGTATTCTGTGGAATCTCTTAAGCCGATATCAATGATTCATTTTTTCTAGGACAGAATCAAAAAGAACTATGGCGAGAAAAATGAATTTAGTTTATATTTCCATGAATCATTTGGGAGAAATTAAATGTTCTCCCTGTTGTCCCTTCAGCTCCTAGAATTATATACACTTTTGCGTTAGCATTCAGTAAGACATAGGAAATATCAAGAGGGGAAGAGAAATATTCATTTTCCTGTGCTCATTTAAAATGCAAACCAGCTCCTTATAAATAAAAACCAGGATCAAATGCATTCTCCAGTATGTGTTTTCCATTTTAGTTTCAACAAAACAGAAAGTAATGGAACGCATGCAAACTTTTCATTGTGGATAGAAAGAACTGATGAAATTTTTGCCCTGACTTGAGTCTTCGCAGACTCTGTTTATTCTGTTTTAAGAAACCAATTTCATTGCTGGTATCATCACAGTGAAGAGCCAGAACACAAGGGTGGAAGTAAAGACGTACCGTGTCACGTTGCCGATTATCTTTCCCTGATTTTATCAAAAAGTAGTTCCACGTCAGTAGCAACAACAAAACCAGGGGTATCATGTAGAGCTCAAAGTTCCAAACCACAAAGAGGAAGAGCTGGAGGAGACAGGAGGAAGAAAAAGAGATGAGTCAATTCTGAATGTCATTAAATGGATTCTCTTATTCACGCTCCACTTCAAAAACACAAACTCAAATGTTTTAGAATGGGAGGATTTATCTTGAAAACAAAGTCCGGAGGACTCCTTAAGCATTTTCTGAAAGCAGAGCAGAACCCTGAAAAGCCATTGTTAGCAGTCTGCATTGGTTTTTACTTGATTTAATTTCTCTAAAGGAAAAAAAAAGTGATATCATTACATTGTCAAAGAGGTGATTTTAATTTGTCTTCTCTAATGAAGGTATCATTAAGTTGGACAAAATAAGGTTATAAATGAAAAGAGCATCTACATAGTCAAAAATAGCTCTATTTTCCTTAATGATAAAGAATGAATCACCATTTATTATTAGGGACTTTTATCTTACTCAGATAACACAATGTAACAAGCATAAGATGTGGATGGAATTCTGAAGCCTACATAAGAATATTGAAAAGAGTTTACCTCTCAGAACATAAGAAATGCTAGAAATGCTTCACAAAAGTAGAGTAAGACCTTCATTAACCTAACATTGGCATAAAACAGTCAGCCATAAATCAAAATGAAAGTAATTAGATCATAGGAAGTGAGAAAATTTCTATTAGAATATTTTTAAATAACTCTCTTTTAAAAAAATAATCACACATATTTCTGGACTTTGTGTATCCCTGGAAGGCATCGTTTTATATGTTGGAATTGTTTATAAATAAATTGACTTGATATTATATCATTTGGAGGGTGACCAGGATTCTAAACTGATTATCAATTAGTCAAATGAGACAAACAGGTGGTAAAATGTTTAGAGAACTGAATTTCAAGTCAGAAAGACCTCAGTTTGAGTCCTGTTTCAGACATTTACTAAGAGCTTAACCTATGTCAGCCTGAGTTTCTTCTTCTTTAATAAGGATAAAGATAACGCTTAACTCACAGGGTTATTGTGAGGATCAAATGAGATAGTATAAGAAAAACCACTTTGGAAACCATTACTGTGCTATACAAATGCTAGCTATTATTATTTTTTATTACTATATTGGGTATGAAATTCTACATTTTTATCACACTCAGAAGGTACCCCAACATATATCTCAGTTACATCCTTAAATAAAAATCATTCTAGATGACTAACTTTCCAACATTACCTTAAGGATTAACTAATTTTTTAATTAACTAATTTTGTATAGGATTAACTAAATTTTTTTAGTTGCTGACATGTTTTTGCTCATATTCTAGCACTTAGACATTACCTGTATTTGAACCTATACAGTTTTGCCATTTATTGCTCAACGGGATTAGCAATAGTGAGTTTTTGACTCTTCAATTCCATAGAAATCTTGCTGCATAATCTAAAGGAAGATGAAAACACAACCGGCATTTCTGTGAACCCCCTGTCTTTAAAAAAAAGTGTTTGAACTGGATCTTCCATTTAGTACAGATATTGCTGAATAATTTGAAATCTTTCACAAAGAAGGAAAAGGGTCAACATAAGCTCACCCAAGGAAATAAATTCAAACATAGAACAATACTACAATGTCCTAAATAAAGAAGTTTAAGTATTTTAATATAATAAATACCAGTATCGCTTTCTCTAGGGTAGACAAAGAATTTAGTTAACTGGTTAGTTAAATGTGTCCTACTTTCCCTGGGGGGAAAGAAAAATAAAAACTTGAGGTAGTAGCAAAAAAGTTTCCCTTTGGGCTTTGAAGAATTTGGAGAGTTAAGATCATATTAATTATATCTGATAGTTCCTTATTTCCTGTTAGGATGACAATGCTAATGAACTATTTGTGTTGTAGGGAAAAAATCAAAATTAGTTATATAGGTTATGTGAAACAAAAAATATCTGTTTATAGTTAGCATTAACTCCTTCTTAATTGATTTAACTGGATTATCTATTTGTAACCTTATGTAATCAGCAGATAGTGCTATCTGGCATAGTTTGAAGGTTTAGGTAAGGAGATAGGCCATCTTTTGTCCCTTCACTGATCTTAAAGGAATGACTGCTGGAGCTAAGGTAGAAACACCCACATTCTGGACTCTGTGAGTCATTCAGGCAACAAATATTTATTAAGCACCTATTATGTGCCAGGACCTGTGCTAAGTAAGTGCTGGAGGTACAAAACAAGGCAAAAGACAGTTCCTGCTGTCAAGGAGCTCACAGTTTAATGGGAGAGACAACATGTAAACAACTATGTACAAACAGAATATACAAAGGATAAATTGGAGATAATCAACAGAGGGAAGGTATTAGAAGTAAGGAGGATAGGTAAAAGCCTCCTGTAGATGTTCAGATTTTTAGCTGGGATTTGAAGGAAGCCAGGGAAACCAGGAGGTAGAGATAAGACAGGAGAACACTGGGCAGTGTAAGCTCCCAAGTTGGGAGATGAAATGGAATTTCTTGTGTTGTTTGTCCTTTGTTCTCAAAGAGGACCATCACATCAGGAAGGTGATGCCATGACTTGCAAGTAAATTGAATTTAAACAAGGGAGAGAAATGCAAAGTTACCAGCTTCACTTTCTCCTTTGTGGCCATCTGGGTCCAGGGCAAGTTATAGATCAGGACAAATGGAGATGGCCCCTGGAACTGCTGGTACAAGAAACAGTCATGAGGCCTATATTGCTGCATTGCAGAGTATGTGGTGGGGTGTAAGATATGAGAAGACTGGAATGGTGGGCAGCGGGGAGGTGGAGACGGGCTATGAAAGGCTGTATTTTAATAACAGATAATTTTATATCTGTTCTTGGAAGTGATAGGGAACTGCTGGATTTTATTGAGGATGAGGTGACATGATCAGACCTGTTCTTTAAGATTACTTTGAGAGTTGAGAAAGATGGACTATAGTGGGAAAAGACTTATGGCAAAGAGACCAGTATCAGTGGGTTATTGGAATAGCGTAAGCTTAAGATGATGGGGGTCCACACTAGCATCTAAACTAGGGTGATACCACTGTGGCAAAGTGCCTGCAGGTTGGCATTCTCTCCCTCTTTCTCCCTGTAGCTCTATCTTTCCCTTTTCATCTCCTCCCTTTATCCATTTCAGTCTCCCAGTACTTTGTCCTTTGGGGTTTATTCATAACCGGGTCATTTTGTTGGCTTCCAATTTTTTCTTGTCTATGCTTAGTCTATGCCACTATTCTACTTTTTTAATTGTTAAAACCAGATAGCTTTTTATGATTATTGTTTTATAATACAGTTTAAAATCTGTTTCCTTCTCTTATTTTTTGTTATTATTTCCCTTGAAATTTTTACCTTTAGTTTCTTCAAATGAATTTTCTTATGCTTTTTAGTAATTTTATAATATAATTTCTTGAAGTTTTATGGACAACCTATTCAATATATACATCTTAGACAGCTTCCATAAATACTTGGATAAATACTGTAAATAGAGGCAGCTAGGTGGTGCAGAATGCTGGGTCTGAAATCAGGAAGACCTGAGTTCAAATGTTCCTTCAGGCATTTACTAGCTCTGTGATCTTGGACAAGTCAATCTTTATCTCATTTTTTCTCACCTGTAAAATGGGGATAATAATAGCATCCACCTTGCAGGGTTGTTGTGAAAATCAAAAGAAACAATATTTTTTATATCACTTAACATGTTGCCTGGAACATATTAGGTGGTATATAAATGCTTATTTATAAATGGACAAAGAATTGGACACCAATTTGCCTTTTTACATTGCCAAGTTTTGGTGGTATTTTTTTTTAATGAAACCTAGCTTCTCATTGAAACAAGGACTTGTTTTTTTCATACTAATATTTTATTGCTGATATTATATAGCTGCAAGCCATGGAACACTATAATCTCCAAAGAATTAACAGTAATGACCAACCAAAGGGTGATTCTGGGTGTAAGTACAGTACAAAACACTACAAACAAGGAATTAGAAAGAAACAGTGGTGATGGTGATGTCATCAAAGAAATGTATGACTGAAAAAGAAGATATAATGGTCGCCTGGTGAGAGCAGTGGGTAACTAATATATAATACATATGTTTTACTGATATCTTCAAAATATTAGAAGAACAGGAGGAAGGCTACTAGTATATTTGGGGTTTTGTGAAAAACTCATGAGAATTCATGGATGAGAGTCACAGAGGATAAGCAATCATGGATGAAATCTACATCACTAGAAGGAATATCCCTATAGAAGAGATCACAGATGCATTTGAGTATTTTTATACTTGATTATTTTTTAAAATATAATGGCTTATTATTTTCTTTCTCTTCATCAACACTTTCTGGTTTGAATATCAAGGTCATCTTTACATCATAGAAAGAGATGGTAAAAACTGACCAGAAAGGCACCTAATCAGAGTTTACATAACTTAGGGATTATTTACACTTTGATAGAATGTTTGACAGAATTAATTTGTAAACTTATCGGGTCCTGGAATATTTTTCTTCCTTCAAGAGTTAACTTATAGCTCCCTCAATTTCTCTTGATGAGACTATGTTGTTTATATTATCTATTTTCTGTTTTGTTAAACTGATTTTTTTTGTCCTTGTAAATATTTATTTCATTTAACTTTTGTTGGCATTTTTTTTTTAAATTTCCTCTCTCTTGACTGTGAGTTGTTTCTAATAATTTTTTGTTTGGTGATTTCATTTTCCTCCCTTTTTTGATCAAATTAGCTAATGTTTTATTTATTTTATTTTAAAACAATTTTTAGTTTTATTTATCAGAATATTTTTGCTTTCAATTTTATTTTCTCTCTCCATTGCTTTGAGTTTATTCACTTGCTCATTTTTTAGCTCTTTCACTTTAATGTTCAATTCATTGATCTCATCTCTTTTGTTAACATGTGTTGAAATATACATTTTGCTTTAGTACTATAATACTTTAGGTACATACATAAATTTTGGCATGTCATCTCATTGTTTTTGTTATTTTTAATATGAATATTTATTACATCTATTATTTGTTCTTAGAGTCACTTGGTATAGTTTTTACTTTGACTTCTTTGTTCAT